GAGATTAATTGTTTAGAGCGATGTAAAATAGAAATTGATGTAAATCATAAGATTCAAGAAAGATGAGCAAGGTAATGAAGTGCATCAGGGGCATTGTGTGATCATAACATGCCTTTCAAGTTAAAAGCAAAATTATATAAAATAATTATAAGGCCTACAGTTTATATGAAACTGAGTGTTTGGCTGTTAAGAAACAACACAAGAAAAAAATGAACATAGCGAAGATAAAGATGCTTAAATAGATGTGTAGTAAGATTACAAGAGACAAAATCATAAATGAAAAGATTCTAGGAAAATTAAGGGTAATATGATTGAGAAAAAGATGAAACCTAAAAGACATAGATGTAAGTAAGTAATGTAAGTAATAAGATGTAGATAAACCACGAAAGATGTAGATATAAGTAATAAAAGATGATATGAGGGTTAAGAAAATAGGTGAAAATGTTGTTTTTTATATAAATAAATGGTGTAAGAAGATTTAAAACTACAACCTAACATGATTCCTATTTTTGGCTTTTCATATAGCTGATCTTAGAGTTATAGGATATAAACCTGAGTTGTTGTTGTTGTTGTGTATATATATAAATATATTATTTTACATTTAAAAAGAACACATTTCCATTAATTTATTAAAAAACCTATCACATTTTTACTCACATAGCTTCTTATTTTCTTTTAAAACACAAACTTTTTCAAAACACCTGCATAGTCAGTGATCAAATTATAATATTCAAAAAATAATAAATTAATATAATAAATAAAGATTATGCTTGGTACATAAGATTATGATAGGATAAGATAAGATAATATTATTAATAGGGTTAAATTAAGTAATGTCATCTTATTTTATGTTTGATGTATGTAAGAATTAGGAATGATAATTTATTTATTTATCTATCAAAATTATCCTTTTTCGTAGTTTATATAATTTAAATTATTGATATAATTTTTAAGGGTATAGTTGGACATATAAGTTTAATCCCATAGATTAAAAATAATCCTCTCTATTTAGGGGTGATTGAATAATCTTATCTTAAAAAGATATTAATCCTCCTTACAATTCTTATCCTTATGAATCAAACATGATATATGATGATTATTATCGTATCATATCAATAATCTTATGTATCAAATATAACCAAAAGGATGTAGACAATACTTTAACAACAAAACAAAGTTAGGATATTTAATTATTTTTTACTTTTTAAATAAAACAATTTTCACAATCATTAAAAAAAGTCCTATTATCGAGTAAATTTTTTTCTAAAACACAATATATTTTAAATTATGGAAAGAATCAAGAAAGTTTATCCTAGTTAATTGAAAATTTGTGTAACCAATTCTACTATCCATCAATTTGAAAGTTATGTTTAAAAGTTTAGTATTTTCAATTCGTTTATAAATTATTTTGTAAGTATTACAAATAAAAAAATCTTATTAAAAGAATATTAATATTGAAAATTTATTATAAAATTTAAATTGATAGATTTATATAATTGAAAGTATTGTTCTTGATCATGTTTTATTGTTGCGCAGTCTAATTTAATTTACAATAGTTGATTCATCATTCATGAGCAGGCAAAAATATTAGACTTTAAAAAAAAAAAAAACGAGATACTAATAATTTAGGTTACGTTCGGCAACGTTTGTTTCCAATTTTATGTTTTTGTTTTGAAAATTTTACAAAATAAAATAGAAAACATGTTTGGAAGAGTATTTTTGTTTTCAAATTTATAAAACAAGCAACAATATTTTCAAATGTTTTGGAAATGATAAGAAACAACAATTTGGTATTTCCTACAATTTCTTGAACACTTTCAAAATAGGTTTGGCCAAAAACATGAGATGAATAGTACTTTTTAATGAGATTTTGCCTTCGATTCTTGTAAATGACAACTTTCTTTTATTTTCAGACTTTCACTTTCTCCCTTATCAAAGAAACTTATACAGTTTTTCTTACTGCAGTGCCATTGTTACATCTTCTCCTCCACCTTCGTCAAGCTCTCTTCTCAATCTACATTTCCAAATTCTCGTATCTCTTAACCAAACTTTTTGTTGCTAGTCATCCTATCTTTGTTGGAAAACAAGTGGTTTTGAGTAATGAATTGGCAGGTAAAGAGTTGAGAGAGCCATCATGAAGGAATTAAAAAAAAAAGAAAAGAAATGAGAATGGAGGAGTTGAAAAAGCCACTAAACCAAACTTTTTTTTTTATAACCCATTTTTTTTTAGTCAAGCAAATTTTTTTTTAAGCTTTGTTCTTTAGGGGTTTTGTTATCTATCGGGTATGATCCCTTATTTGAATTATCAGTTTACCATTGTAAACAAAAATTTTTAATTTATCAATCCTTTAAAAAGTGTAAAATATCAATAATATATAATTTAAATATATTATATAAAATGTTTCACATTATTAAATTATAAAATAAAAATACTTATTATATTTTAAGTTATTAGACTTGCCAAATATATTTTATGTTTTTAGTTTTTGAAATCTAACAACATCGTAATTTAACCAAACATTTTTTCTGTTTTTAGAATTTTAAAAAGAAATAAAAGAAAATAAAAGTGTAATTTTAAATGATCATTTACAATTAAATATCAAAATTCATCACTAAATATCAAAATTCGTCAATAAAAATAACTTTCCTATATCGTTAATAGAGTTTTAAAATTATATTGACAATGTATTAAATAATTTTTTGTTATATATTAATGCTACGTGCATCTAATATGTGTAAGAAATAAATAATTGTTGAAAAAATTAATCATTTTAAATATAAAAAAGAGAAGAAAGTAAAACTCTATGATATTAAAAATTTTAAAACTTTATTGGTAAATCAATTATTAGTTAAAAAATTTATTTATTTATATTCAATAACTATAAATTAAAGTAGAAAAGGTTTATATACTATACATTTTTTTTATCATATTAGCATTTAAAAAAAATAAAATTCACAATGAAATATTTAAAATTTTAACCTAATATACACTTTAATACTTTGAATTAATGACATTAGTAAAGTTGTTAGCATAGCATTAATACCAAATAAATTTTACACGTGTCAAAAATATTTAATTATTATCACATTATCATTACTGCATAAGTATTAGAAGAAATTTTCAAAAAATATAAAAATTAAAAAAAATCTAAAAATTAAAAATATAGAAAATTAAAAATCTAAAAATTTGAAAAATTAAAAAAGTCCCCAAAATTAAAAAAAATTCCAAAAAAATACAAAAAGGAAAATTTATGAAAATTAAAAATAAAAATAACATAAAAATTTAAAAAAATCTCAAAAAATAAGAAAAGGTTTTAAGATTCCTAAAAAAGGTACAAAACAAAAAAAATTGAAAAATACTATAAAATTTTAAAAAATAAATCGCAAAATTTTCCAAAATTTTGAAAAATAAAAAATTCACAAAATTACAAAAATCTAAATTTTTTAAAAAAAATTCCAAAAGAGAAAAATATATGAAAAATTAAAAAAACTAAAAATATTAAAAAAAATATTTGAAACTTAAGAAAAATCTAAAAAAGGAAAATCCTAATAATTTCAAAAAATCTTCTAAAAGTTCCAATAATGAAAAAAATTTTAAAAATATTCCAGAAAAATTGCAATAAAATAAAAAGAAGCTTAAAAATTTAAAATTAAAAAAATCTGAAAAAAACTCTATAGGGCCAAACTTTATTTTTCATTTTTATATTTTGATATATTTTGAAATTTTAAGATTTTAAATTTTGAAAAAAAATTTCAATTTATCCGTTTTTTAAATCTTTTTCAACATTTTTAAAATCTTTTTTAGTTTTTTTTTTGAATTTTTTGTAGTTTTAATATTTCAGACTTTTTAAATTTTTAAAAATTTTCAATTTTTATTTTTCATTTTTTTCTATTTTTTTACAGTTTTCATATACATTTTTTTTTTAAATTTGGGATTTTTTTATTTCAAATTTGTTTTTCTTTTTTTAGTTTTAGGAATTTTTTTTTGAATTTTTACGTTTTTCTTTTTTTTAATTTTCTTGGAATTTTAAAAAAATTTTCATATTTTATTTAATTTTTCAGTTTTTTGAAAATATTTAGAATTTTTTTAATTTTTCAAATTTTTTTTTGAAATATTTAATTTTTAGAAAATTGCTTTGAATTTTGTTTTTGGATTTTTAAAATTTTTAAAATTCTTTTAATTTTATAATTTATTTTAAAATTTTTCTAAATTTTCTAAATTTATAATTTTTTTAATATTAACGTGACAACTATGTTATAACAATAATTAAACTTTTTTTTTTATAGATATTATGATTTTAAATAGTATTTAAATCATGTCAGTAATTTAATTAACATGTTAATCTAAAAAAAAGATGTATTATAAATGAAAATTTAAGTATTTAATTGTAAAATTTATTTATTTAAATATGAAACTAATAAAAATTATATAATACATAGATTTTTTTTTATTTGACCCTTTAAAAATATATTAATGACGCATATTTAAAACATATATATAATTTACATGCAAACAAAAGCGTGGATGGGTAAAACTTGTAATTGATGGAAACAAATATCTTTATTATATTCAAATTGATTTTTTTTTTTTGAGAAATCAAAATTGATATTTTGAATACTTTTTATTATAAAAATTAATAATTATTTTAAAAATAAATAAAATAATCATAATAAAAAAGTAATATAAAATTATAGTTGAACGGTTGAATGAAGGGCATAGAGCAAATGAGTGGGGCTAACATCGTCATTTTGGTTTGATCTGCTCTGCTCCACTTCATCTGATCTGAGCCGTTGCTTTCTTCCATATAAAGAAATAAAATACTAACCACTTCCTTGGTGTTTCCGCCTAATTAATCGCAAAATTCGTAAGAGTTTTTCCTTTCAACTTTTCCTCTTCACCAGATTCAGGTATTCTAATCACCTGCCTTCACGGTTTGGAATATTATATTCTTTTAATTCTTTATTATTTTTTTACCTTTTCAGACGATATGAACAACGATTTTGATTTTGTTTTCCCTTTTATAATTAATGCTATTTATTTGATTTTTTATTCTGCAACTTTTTTTTTTTTGGAGTGGCAGAAAGGCAATTTTCTTTTTGAGTTATTAGTCGTAAGTAAGGTCAAATAGATTGAATTCCTTTATGAATTTAAAATTTAGGTTATATATTATTTGTTATGTGAAAAAAGAAATATATATTTCTGGGGCTCTTTGGTTTCTGTGTACACTGAGATGATAAAATGTTGGGATATTCGGCCCCTTGGTGCCCGCCTTGTAAGCAGAGATTTCATGGGAAGTAGTGGGATCAACCAAAACATTGTTGGTTTTGGTATAGGGGTAGCTATTCGATGACGCCAGGCACAAATTTATTGAACTATACAAGGGAGGGAAGAGATATCATTTAACTGAAAGATGGGTGAATGTCAAGTTTATGAACTGATTGGTTCAATTTGTTGTTATTCATAATGGATTTTATGGTTTTTTAAAATAGCACATTAGCATCAGTAGCCTTTGTCGATGATCACCTGCTAGAATTATTAATATAAGGGTGATTTTCATTTGCAAGTTCAAAATTTCTCGAGGAATTCCTTCCTGGGGTTAAAAAAAAAGGTCTGGGAGGTTGGTTTTGGAGGAGTAATGCCCCTCTCTTTATCCTTTTCCGTCAATTAAAATCTTCCCAACAGGATGAACATACTACTCTCTTTCCATTCCCATCCTTTTTACTTTGATCCAACAGTACCAGTGAATGCAGTGTTCATAAATTTCTCTTCATATTTAAACTTAAAAAGCAAGATATTGCAGGTTCGGTTTATTACTGGTGGCCAATGATTGAGAGAAGTAGGAGAGAAGGAGATTAAAAAAAGAGAAAGTAATAAGAAAAAAGATAGAAAAATGAACACAGAAACAATAAAAAAAATGATGCCTTATTCGGTCATCATGGTTGGTTGATATCTGTATCTTTAGTTAAAGCAACGTTTGGTCTATATTTAAGACCTTTATCTTCCATTGAAAAGGAAAATGCATGCTCATGCTTCCTTCAAAAACTTATTTTTGAACCTACTGTTGGGAGGTATGAATAGCATAAAAGTTAAGTCTGGCTGTTTGTTATGCTTTCAATCTGGCTTGGATATGATTGTAAAATTTCTCTGCGTGATGGGTTGTTCGGGTTTTAACAGTTTGTTCATGACAAAGAGAAAAAGCAAGAAGTTTAAAAGTCAAGGGCTACCAAAAGATCACCCTAATTTGAATGTGAAGATAAAGAAGAGATATATAAAGAACAAAAAGAAGAAATGTGGGAAAAAAACAGCTTCTACTTGTAATAGTGGTTCTTCACCTGGGTCCGTACAAGACATTGTTGTTGCTCCAAATGCTGCAATCACAACTTCCTCTGCTTGTGCTCTTCCTACTACTGGCAATCAGGGTGTACCAGAAAAGAGGAAAGTAAAACAAAGTGGAGAAAAAGTTTTTGGATTTATTTTTATGTGTAATATAAAAACAAAGCCTGAATGCTATCAACACCGTGTTTTTGGATTACCTGCTGGAAAATTGGAAGTTGTAAAGAAAATCAAACCTGGAACCAAGCTTTTCTTATTTGACTTTGACTTGAAGCTACTCTATGGAATATATGAGGCAACATCTAAAGGAGAGTTGGACTTGGAACCAACTGCATTCAATGGGAAATTTCCTGCACAGGTACTAAGAATTCTTTTTAAATAAAAAAATAATTTCTTTAAGTTACTATGCATCTTAAAATGGGTGGAATGTAGAATCAACTGGCATTGTTTCTTTGAAAATATAAACTAGCTTCAATGTTTGGATTGAGGAAGAGTCAAGGGAAACAAAGGTAGGGGGTGGGGATGGGGGCTCTACTCTACTTGTTTGGTAGTTTAAATAGAAGAAAGAGAGTTTTGAGTGAGCCAATTCCTTTTAGTGATTTGGATTTCCCCCTGTTGGTCTTCTATTCCTGTCTAATTGGAAGAAATTTTAGAAGATTCCAACTTTGTGATTTGTTTGTAGTTTCTTTTTAGTCGCTCAAAGTATATTCTAATAATGGTTTGAATTTGGGGTATGATGATAACAATATAACTTTCTTACTCTTTCTCTTTTCCGTACACCATAGAAGATGTTTGTCTCCTCTAACCTCTCCTCCATCCTATTTATACTACCATATTATCCTTCAAACTCCAAGCATATTGGAAATGCATGTTTGGTTCATAAGAGCACTTAATCCAAGTTGATCTTATTTTTGTTCGGTAATCTAGCTTTAAAGTTAGATTATTTGAGTTTAGGCCAATCATTGGATTCATGCCTACAATAGTCTTCTTGAGTGTAAATATGCTTGTAGAATTCGTTTGCTTGTTACATGATTTGTTCACAAGTGTGGCTAAAACTGAAAAAAAATTCACATTAGCCATTGACAATGAAGTGTAAGGGTTAAAATTGTAATAATTGAAAGTTGAGGGATCAAATAGGTTTCCTTGGTGGATGATACCACAAAACTATGTGTTGTATTGGCTGTAGACAGTAGTGGCGGCTACAACTAAGGGTGTTTGGTAGCAATATGCGGTGTTGGATGCTAAAGTGGTATCCTGGGTGGTGCATCAATCTGTATTTTGAGTTGAGGGGTTTTCTCAATTTTATTTCCTTTATAATGGAAGTGAGCTTCTATTTGCACCCGATGAAATTACTTAATTAACTTTTGACAAATTACCTTTCAGCCTTTCGTACACCAATTTTTACATTTCTTCAAGTTTTTGGATTTACATTTTCAACTGTCCATAAAATCTTTTGGATTTGATTTTGCATTTTTGGAAGCCTTAAAAAGCTTTTGGGTTTGCATTTCCAGAGGCCTTAAAAGCTTCAAGATTTGCATTTTTGGAAGCTTTTAAAAGCTTCCATATTTGTATTTCAAGAAGCTTTATTTGCATTTCTTAAAAGCTTTTGGATTTTCGATAGATTTTAAAAACTTTTGGATTCATATTTTTGGACACTTTTACAAGTTTTCGGAAATGCAAATCTGGAACCTATGATTTCATGCATAAGATTTAACCAAATTCATGAAATCAAAGCCAATTTAACTAAAATCAAACAAAATCAAAGACAAAATGTAAAAATTGAAGCTTGATTATTTGATTAACTCCAAAACTTGGGCTATGTTAGGATTGAGGAAAGGTGAGGGAAAGGAAGGAGAGAAAAGGAAAGTAGGGGAAATAAGGAAACCTTTCCCTTGCTTGGTATAATTTACATTTTAATTAAGGAAAGGAAAGGAAAGGAATTTTAGCATCCCTCTTTTTCTTTCAAAAGCTCTAATTTTAATCCAAATTAAGGTAAACAGCAGAGATTGAAATTGCGGTCATAGTCGCATGTTTGGTTGCATTATATTTATTGCAGTTACGGGTATAATGGAGATCATTGCGCTCATTGTGGTCGTGAATTTTTAAAAATTTTTCTCAACTTACTATAAAATATAATAATTATAATTATAATAATAAAAACTCTTATTTAGTATCTTTAAAATAATTTATAATATTTCATGTCTTTTATTTACTTGATAAAAAAATTATTTACAATATTTATGAGCGCTCATTGTGGTCGTGAATTTTTAAAAATTTTTCCCAACTTACTATAAAATATAATAATTATAATTATAATAATAAAAACTCTTATTTAGTATCTTTAAAATAATTTATAATATTTCATGTCTTTTATTTACTTGATAAAAAGATTATTTACAATATTTATGAGATTATAATAAAGTAATATAAAGTTAATAATAAAATTTCCTTGATCATAAACACGTTTTGAACATCTAACATGAAATTATAAAAAACAATAATGTTTGTTCAATCACAATTCAAAAATTTCTCCTAAATCAATTGCCTCTAAAACAATAAAAAATTTCAATCCATTTTCCTAAATCAAAATTTCCCACTAAAACAATAAAATCCTAACCCTTTCCCTAGGCCCAACAAGACCTTCACCCAATTCCCAACCCACCTAGTTACCCACAATCTACACACGCACACCACACACCACACACGTTTCACTTTTACTTTTCTCCCGCCTTCCCCTTGTCAATTAGCTCCTCAGTCCATTCTTCCTCTCTTTTTTCTTCTCAACCCTCATTTCGCTTTTCTCTGCATGGTCTCTCTCAAACTCAAATGCATAAACCTCCTACACAAGTAAGAAGTTCTTGTTTTCCTCTCATCTAATCCTCTCTTAATCGATAGTTTAACCATCAAGCTTAGGGACTAGCGGCCAACAAGCCAAGTAGCTTGCCACTCCCTGCTCCTAGTTGCAGAAGCATAGAATATGGATGGCCAGATTAGATACTCAAGAACGGAATGTTCAAGAGAAACAAAATCAGCAAAAAAGATAATTTTATGCACCCTCAAAATTCAAATCAATAAATTGTGTAATGCTGGTTGATGTTGATGATTGAGGTTGAAATTCTAAATTTGACTGTGTGAATTCAGTTATTTATTTATTTATTTTATAGGTTTCTTTGGGGTCAATTTTGAACAAACGAAATAAAAAAGTTTCTTTCCATTTTTGGATGAAAAACGGAGTGGTGAGAATAACAAGAATAGCTGGTTGATATTTTCGTTATTCTTCATTATTCCGTTTTGCAATGGCCAATCGTGGCTGCTATGGGCGAGATTGAAATTCTCTCCCGTTTTTCTTCAATACTGGTGGTGGTAGGTGGCACAACTGCGAAATAGAGGCTGCTATATCGCTATGCCACTGTTATTTAAAACCTTGAGAAATAGAAAGGAAAGAAAAGGATTAAAAAGTTTTAACTATAAAATGACTTTTACGTCCATATTATATTTTATCATTTTTCAAAGAGTACTATTATAATATTCAATCTTAACCATTGGTGCCGCTTTTAAATCCTTTGCAACTCATTCATCTATTATTTTTCTATCAATAACTTTGAATTCTATGTATTTTTTAACTTATGCTTAGGTCTTAATTTTTTTTTTTTTCATTTTGTTATCACTTAAAAAATTCTAAATAATAAATTTAAAGGAACATGATGAAATATGTACAACGGTAGGAAAATACTAATACTTAAACAAATTTATGATTAGTTTAATATTAATAATAATATTTAAGTTTTTAATTTTCTTATTTATGGATTAATTTTGAAAAAAATATTGTATTATAAAAATAATTCCAAATGTACATTTTTATAAATTAATTATTAATAGTATTCTCTTTAATTGAAATTATTTTTATTAACTTTCAAAATTGTTTAAAATAATTAATATTAAGATTATTCACATGGTAGAAAAATATTTTATTTTAAAAAGGTATAATTGGAACAATATAAAATAATATTCCCTTTCCTTTTCTTTTCACAACTTAACCAACCAAAGGTTGTGATCAAATCCATTCCTTTTCTTTACTCATTTTAGCCATCCGAACAAGGGAATGATGTATCATTTCCTTTCCTTTAAAAATCTTTCTTTTTATTTTATTTTCCTTTCCTTTCTTTTTACTAACTTCAATCCAAACGTAAGATTAGTGATTATAGATTGATTTTTGGGGTTTATGGTTTGAGAGATTAGGGTGAATCGGTTTTTGGAGAGGGAAATGGTGTGAGAGGGGGTGTGAGGGTGTTTAGTGGAAAATAAGATTTAGGGATTATTGGTGTAATGAGTAAAAATTAGTTTTTAACTTTTGAATGTGAGGTGTAATTAGTAATGGGTTGTAGAGAGCATTTCTTGGGGTGCCAATAGAAGCTCTCATAATGGAAATGCTGCTTTCCAAAAATCTATAGTGATTATGTTAAACATTTAAATATGGCTTCTGATTATGTGATGTATGTTTTCTGTTTGTATTTTAGGTGAGGTTCAAGATTTTTAAAGATTGTTTACCAATTCATGAGAGTGCTTTCAGAAATGCTATTAAGGACAACTATAAGGGTTATAAGTTTAATCAAGAGCTGAGTAAGGAACAGGTAAGACACCATTAAAGAGTTTTTTGCACCAGCTATTCCAAAAAATGTTGATTTTTTCAATTTACTGAGACATTCTTATTTCTAAGGGAAATGTCTTTTTATGTAGGTGAAAACTTTAATTTCGTTGTTTCCCCCTATTAATGTGCAATCATGTGCTGCTGCTGCACCTACTGTCCCGAATGTGGCACCACCTCACTCATTCTCAGGTCATTCTCAGCGGCCAGAAAACTCATATTTATTAGGTGTTCATCATTTGGAAGCCCTTGTTACTAGATCTGTGCAGGTAAATCCACACTTACTGCATGAACCGTATGAACCAGAAATACCCATGGCACATGTACAGTCCTCAATCAAAACTGTGGGTAACAGTCAGCAGGCCATTCTTCGACATCCTGCTGATCCACATCATTTGACAGAAGCACATAAGGTTTACTTGCCTGATAAACCCCCCTCATCTGCTTATGACCTATATCAAAGGTATACTTTTTCCTTTTCCTTAACCCGTGGTATCTGGTATATGATGTTTCCTTCTCTTGATTCAAATTTAATTGTTTGTGTTTAACCCTTGATGTGTGCATTCTTTTGCACTTCTGTCCTTACTCTTTTGCTTTATCTAATTGTCCATGTAAGTTTTTCTAGTTTAATCTTGTGTTCCAAGATTGGGAAATGTTTGCTCTTCTCTTCACTTTCTCATTTTCTCCCCGTTTGGGTTGATATTTTCAGTACTTTTCTTCATTCCACCTATTTATCCTGATCTTTATAGTTATAATAACCTTGTCATTTCTTCAATCATGTTGAGGGGTGATTTTGGATTTTTTTTCTTCATTCTTTTTGGAAGAAATTACAATTTGTTTCCTACTTAATTATCAGACATTGAGTTCTGTTGGTATTGCATGGGTTCAGATCTTTTTGTACTTGTTTACAATGACCCCTAATTTTAGTCAATTATCAAATGGTTGGAAAAATAAATTTGATGCAAAAAAAAAAGCAGGTATGGAGCTGTGCTGGAGGCAATGCAGAGGGAAGTTTCTGGACATGGAAGCAAGTACTATACATTACAACAGCCAATTGCAAGAGAAATTGCTTCACAACCAGAAAAAGTAGCTAGCCACTACAGTCAAAACCTGCCTCCTGCAACACCATACCAGTCCTCTCAAAAACCTGCTATAATACCATCCTATGCAGTTGAACTGTCTTCTGGTGCGGCTTATTATGCTGTGCCAACCACTGAAGGTATGAGCCAAGTATATGCTGATCCTCTTCAAAGGCTTCTTCCTGGAAGCGCAAGCTTGGTTAAGGCTAACGTTTCAGTCTCTTCCCGTTACTCTTTTATTGGAGCTGCTCCAACTTACCGCTGAGATGGTCTTGAAAGGGGAAATTCTAATGCAGCTGGTATGTAATCCTCTCCTGCTTAACATCATCTTTTGGCTGTCAACAAGCTTTTCTTTTCTACCCTCAGATTCAAGAGCTACTTTAGGCAAGAACTGGAATGTGAAACAATAATTTTATAAAGAGTAACTTTTAAGTGGTTATCTATGTTAGATTTGTGGAAGTGGAACCTGCCTTAGCCATTCGTGCTTCATCTTTTGAATTGGGGGCTTTTGTCGTGGCAACTGTGCGTTAAGAATTAGGGCTTTACTCTGTAAATATAGTTGTCTTTTCAACATTCTATTTGGTCTCTGTGACTGTTTGCCTCTGGCATTTTAAGCCATAAGCACTGAGGTATCTGTAAATATACTCGAGAACCTTTTTCTCATTGTCAAGCTTGAAGTTTAGATTAGGATATCAAGTGTTTCATCTTCTTATCTATTTACCGAAAACTTCTATCAAATGTGAAGTTCAACACACACATTATGCATTACAATTCGTGTATGTGGGAGATCTCTACATAAGAGATACAATACAGAGAAACATGTTGAGATGGATATGGATCATAGTAATAATTTGATAAACCAACTCAAAAATGGTTAGAGAATGACTTTTCTTGAGGATGAGAATTGTTAGCGTTGGCACTGGTTCTTAATGTGAGCAATGAATTTAAAATAAAGATCAAACTTGATTGATCAAATTTTGGCTAAGATTGTGACCGGAGGTGCAAGAGATCTCAGACAATTTGAGATTAAACCTCAACCAGGAGAAATCTGAGGGTTATAGCTTGAACAGATTTCTGAATGTGGTGTTTACTGAAGTTGGGCCCTAAATGTGAAGAAGAGGACTAGGCGCACGTGGGCCTTGGGTTCATGAATTGATCTAATAAAACGAGCCACACCCATTTTTGTCTTTCTAGACTGTAATTTTAAAGGAAAATGTCAGCCATCTAGGACATGTTTCCCTGGTATAATGTATTTTGAGTATTTTACAATTCCGAATGTGATAAAAATCATACTACTTCAATGTCAACAAAATACCAGGAGTGGGGCTGTGGGAGGAAGTTAGTCGTAGAGTGCAGAGCTGAGCTTGTAGTCGTAGAATCTGTAAAACATGTCAAGTTGTCATCTGCAGTGGAGTGGAGTCAGCGACAAAACCCAGTAAGTGCAAGTTTGCTTATCAAATAGTAAAACTGACAGTAAAATGTAATTCTCAGCTAGAAGTTGAAATGCTTATCAAAAAATACATTGGAGGTGGTTTCCAAAGTGAAGCTTCAAGTGCATGGATAGGTAAATATAAAACCATAAAAATTAAAATTTTTATCAATTTTTATTTGTTGTATATAGTTATATAATAATGTGACAGATGAAACATTAAATTTAAAAACAAAATATAAAATATAAAGAAATGAAATTGAATATAGGTGCTCTAATAAGATAATTTAGAAATCTAGATTTCTATTCTTAAAAAAAATATATAAATCTATATTTCTAAAATAATGAACTAGAAAAAGTTACTTTTATGAACTCATGCAGTATTTACATAATTAAAACGTATTACTTAAACGAGATGTGCAAGTTATATTTGTGTTACTTCGATTGAAATGTTTTTTTTTTTTTTTTTTGGGTGAAAACATGCCATTCATTTCATTTATGAAAGAATACTCCATGACGTCGGGACATTCATCGATCCATCTTACACGTCCCAATTGGATTTTGTAGTGAATATCAGGCTAATCTGTGTGCAGCTTCATTGGCCGTTCTCTTTGTGTAAACTGTAAAAAATCGAATAAACCCCAGTTTCAGCTGTTTGCATCATGGATCAGCTCTCCTGCCATTGATAGACATTCTTCGTTAGCGTTCAACTGTTTTACTACTTTCATTGCATCCCCTTCTAAAATGACCGATTGGAAACCCAATTCCTGTGTAAACTCAATAGCAGAAATGGCTGCAATTGTTTCTGCAATTATGGGTTCACGAGCATGTTTCGTAGTAGTGATCATGCATGCCCCTGAGACCTTTCCAGCTCCATCCTGTATCATCACCCTTATACTAGATGTCTCATCTATTTTTAATGCGCCTGTAGACATTTAATTTTAACCGAGTAAAATTCCGGTCATTATGAAACTTTTCAAATTCAACCTGGCTCAAATTTAATATTTTTTCAATTTTAAAAAGTTTCTAAAATAAAAATTAGAGCCAATTTGACCTAATTGTCTTGAGGTCAAAATTGGTCAATTTGGTTAACCTAATTAAATTTAATCAAATTTGGTCAAAATTGATCCAAATAGTCAAAATTGATAAAACTTGGATCAACTTTTAAAATTCACAATTCAATTGGAATCAATGTGGTTTAAAATTAAAATTTGTGATTTTTAAAACATTGAAAAGTTTGATTGTGCTTTGAAAAGTATAAAATTATTAAAATGCCTTTGGGGGTAATTTTGTAATTTGACCTTCTCAAAATTAGATTTTTGTAAAAATTTTTAGATCATGATTAAATATTTTTTTTCATGATTTTTAATGCAATAAAAATCTTGATTGAACCTTGGGATGTGTGAAATTACTAAAATACCCCTTTATGGGGTATTTTTGTAATTTAACTTTCCTAAAGTCGGTTGTTCACAAAACTTTTCAAATCATGCTTTTAAAATATTTGATGATTTTTGGTGCATTCAAAACCATGGTAGCATCTTGAGAGGTATGAAATTATGAAAATACCCTTTAAGAGGTAATTTCGTAATTTAACCTTCCAAGGTCAGATTTTCATGAAACTTTTCAAAGTTTAGGTTCACATTATTTCATGATTTTTGGTGCTTTAAAATTTCAAAAATGAACACAGAAGTATTGATTTCTAAGAAAATGATCTAAAGACTAAAAGCTTTTTATAAGGATAAATTGGTCTTTTCACTTAATCTAAGAGTTCTAAAAATTACATCTTTAGCTATAAACAATTTAGACCTTTTGGATCATATTGGGAATCCTGATCCAATGACTAAAGTTGGCTCCTTGAAATAAAAAATAACGGTAAAATATGGACCTTTGGCTGAGTTTGAATCTAAAGGCCAAGATTTAATTGCATGGGAGATATTTTTCTTCATCTTCTTCAAAAGGGGAGATCACATTTCTACAATTTGGGAAGGAAGGAGCTCATGGAAAACAAAAAAAGGAAGAAAAATAGAAAAAAATCGTGAAAAAAAAGAGAGAAAAATCCTTGTGAAGAAAGCTTGAAGCTATACTTTCCTTGTTATCCATTTTGCAGTTTTTGCATTCCCATCACATATTCCATACTATTTTTGTATTGTTTCTTCCCATTTTCTTTGTTTTCTTGAAGCTTTATAGTTCATTTTTGTTTGCTTAAAGCTTGTATCAATTCCATCCAATTAATCAATAGTTAGATAGAAGCTAAAATTCAAGCAACAAAAACCATCAATCTACCATTAAAAAAACCAAGTTAAAGGTTCGGCCAAACCTTCTCCACCATGGTCGAACCTTATTTTGACTCAACTTCAATATTTTTCTTGCTTTTTGTGCATGAATGTTTTGGTTAGTGATTCATTTGTTATTTGCATGGTTTATGATCGATTTTGTGATATATGGATGATGTTTGGCTAATGTTCATATTTTATGATTTGCTTGCTAAGTTAGCTTTTCACATGTTTGATAAATCCTTCTTGAAGTAAAAATGGCTTTGAGTTTTGGTTTTATAAATGTTCAATGCATGTTTAAGTAAAATGGAATGAAAATGTGAGTTAGGTGATGCTTTGAAGGTTTGGCCATGGTGATTTTTTGGGTTAGCCAAACCTTGTTCTCCATTTGATAGGTAATGGTTGCTTTGATTCAGGTATTGGATTATGTTTTTGTGTTGATTGATAAGTTTTCAAGGTATTTTGAACAAATTTTCAGTGACAAATGCTAATTTAGTAAATTATTTTAATGATTTTTTATGTTGTTTGGTTTGGTTTTTAAAGAAAAAAATGGTGGAACATTTAAACAAGTTTCAAAAGCTTTTTCATGTTTGATCCATTTTTCTCTTAATTTTTATGAACAACTTATTTGTAATTTAATTTTGTAAATGCATGGGTTTGCAATTAGTTTGTTTCTTTGTCATGTTTTTATCATACATTCATTAATAACATTTTTGTAATTTAATTTTGTCACATGCATATTTTCATGAAACCCTAAAACCCTAAAACTCCAAATCCTGTAAGACCTTAAACCCTAAAACCTAAGCCTTAACCCTAAACCCTAAATCATTAACCAAACTCCAAATCCTAAACCCTAAGCCAAACTCTAAACCCCAACTAAACTTAAACCCTAGACCCTAAACTGACTATAAACCCTAAACCAAATCCCAAACCCTAACCTAGTCCCCAAACCAACCATACCCTAAACCACTAACTAAACCCTAAAACCCAAACCAACCTTCAAACCCTAAAACCAATCTTGCATTTGCCTTTCATTTTATCTTGTTATCACATGCATTTTTATATTGTCATGCATTCATACTTTGTCATTCATTTTATATTATCATGCATTCATCTTGTTATTGTATTCATGCATTTCATGCATATATTTTCAAAGTAAAAAAGTTGTAAAATAAGATAATATCTTAAGTAAATATAATCATCGAGATTTGAACTAATTATAGGGGGACTCTTGGTGATATTATTTATGAGAAATGTTATCTTGGTTTTGTGGGGCAATTTAAAACCTTTAAATTAAAAATATTTTTGAAGCTCTATATAATTATAAGAGAGTGAAAAAAGTGTTTCAATATTTAAAATGTTTTCATTTTGATCCAAAAAAAATGTTTTGTTTTGTTTTATTTTTTTTTAAATTTGATTTGTTTAAAAAAAAAGGGAATTAATTTTAAACATTAAAAATAGGATTGTTTTAACTAAAATTAATGGATGATATATGCAATCAATTGGTATTGTTTTCGACAGGTGCTATGGGGTGCTAATTTTTTCCTATGTGTAACTGACTTTCGGACCTAAACTCTAATTTTTAGATAGTAAAAATGTTATTTTGTAAAACTTTAAAACTCATTTTTAAATGTTTTATAAAAAGGATAAAATTTTTGGGTGGCCAATCACACCCTAAAAAGATTGATGGCAATTATTTGTTTTGATTTTTATCAAAAATATTTTAAGCCTCCATTTTCTCATTCCCCATTCATCTAGTGGACGAGAACTTCTCGGTCCTGAAACATCATAACAACTTGGCGACTCTGCTGGGGTTACATTTTTTTAGGGAGTCAGACTAAATATTGATTGAATGTTATCTAAATCTTGGTTTAATGGTCCTAATTAGTGTTAATCTTAATTCTTTCATTTTAATTTTCTTGTTTTTCAAAAAAGAAAAAAAGAAAGACAAAAGACAAAATTTTAAAAATGTTTTTGATTTCAATTTTCTTGTTTTCATGTGGTATAAAAAAGATATGAGTGTGTTTTACATTTCATGCATATTTTAATTATATCATTTACTTTAAATTGTTGTTATTTATTTTGCTCGTAATAGTTATAGGGCATTTAGGATAAGGGTAGTTTAGGAATCTATGAAAGGTTTGTTTGTTCCTT